CAATTCTAAGTGGTCTCGCATTTTATTTTGTAATCGCCATTTTATTTTGCAATATAAAATCAGGCTATAAAATTGTATGCACTGCACTGTTTGTTCGTTTAACTAGCTTTAGTACTACATACATTAACTGTATGTATGTATGTACTAGGAATGTTAATCCCGGGATCGCGGCCTTTTAAGTCGGTATATGTAATTAGCACTGTAGCTATAATAGAAACTCCTTTTCTTGAACAGTATTGGCTACAGCTCATTTTTTATTTAATAATTAATATTTTTTTTAAATGTCTAGCTCATTATACATACATATAACACCGCCCGATAGTAAATTTTAAACACAAGTATAAATATATTTGCGAAACTATGGGCCAAATATAGTAAAATCGCGTTTTTAGTTTTTCACTCTGATGTCAGTACTTCAAAAATGTTTTAAAAAATTCAGAGACATGTGCTTAGAGGAAAAATATGGGTATTAAATTAAAGAGAAAATACTGTAGAATTTAAATAGATTCAAAATTTTGGTGCAGAAGGACTGGTAAGTATTGAAATGTCCTGTTAAATATTTAGCCTTGAAATTTCGCAAGATTTGTTTTTGAAAAAAATTATATGTTAAGGACCTAACCAAACCTAAAATTTTAATTTTTTAAATTCTAAAGAAATTTCCTCTTGGGAGGTTCCATGGGAAAGTGAACCTCAGTGCAAAAATTGTTTTTTTCTTATAAAACTAACAAACGATAAGACATTTGTAAAAATCTTGAATCAACCAAAAAATAACAAATTAAAGCTTTAAATACATTTTTTTTTTACCTTTTTTTACGTTTTGAAATCAAATTCTATGAAAATTTTTTTATTGAGTTTAAAGTAGGTTGTGTTGAATGCACTGTCAAATAATTTGCGATTCATGATTCAAATGTTTGGTAACAAAAATATATAGTAGAACTCATCTGCTCTTAATAAAATTGTGTTTATATTAAATTATATGACTACTTTATCTATATTATGAGTTATTATTAAGCAGTATTGGTCTTGTCCCACCCGTGACAAAAAAAAGCTAAAAGTTGTTATATTTAATTACAGAAGTTGAGGTTGTGTTTCGCATTTGTTACATAATGTTAGAAATGAATTGCAAATATTTACCACAATTGCATTGTCATTTCCGCGTAGTTAGATAGGAATAATTCAACAGAGAAGCATATCCCACCCGTGACAGCTATGTATGTGTGGGACAGTTGTCAGAGGTACGTTTTACAGGGCTGATAAACTTAATTTTTTTGTTGAGGTGGACGCACGGCAGGAGGGGGGACCCGCGGACTCGTCTATTATCTATATACCCTTGTGGTCAGCTGCTTAAGTTAAGTTACATTTTGACCAGTTTTGGTTTTTTATTTTGTTAATCTAACATTTATAGTTTTTTTTTTATAAAAGTCTAGCACATTATCTAAGCAGAATCACATAAATCTACATTTCAAACTTCTTACAAAAATTATAAAAACTCAACAAACTTTAACAATTACACCTAAAAATTTTAATTTTTTTTTTGCTCAAAATTTTTAGGTATGCAGTTTTGTAGTCCATTAAATTTAAGTAGGTAAAAGTGAAAATGTCAAGCCGCTAGGAAATCGCGTTCATTTTAAATAATTTTTTGGCTGACATTGCTAAGCACTTTCTGCTATATAAAAGGCACTGTCCTAAGATAAAACGTGAGTGAATTATTAAACAAAATTTTCACGAACGGACTGTAACTAAAGTCACCTTCCATTATAACGGTAATTCTTAAAAGACAAAACAGCATTTTAGAAATTAAAAAAAAACTACATAGCTACATAAGAAAAATACCTCTACTAATCGTTGCTCCGCTATATACCCCTTAAATTTTTTGAACCTAGAAACCATTATTTTGATATGATCTTTTTCATGTGACTGAGTTTTGGCAAATTTTTAAAATGATGTAGCATCGTAACATTTTTATTCCTTGAAAAAATTTATGTAAATAGCATTTAAAAGAGCATGTCTTACTATCTGAAATTTCGTTGACTTTGCTACGAGAAATTAATATTCTTATCCAGTGTACAATTGTCAAGTTGGGCTGTGTAATTATAGCATAAACAAAATCCATTTACCACAACTTTATAAAATCTAAATTCATAATTACATTGTTTCTACGTCAATGAGCATCCCCATCGTGCATATATATGTAAATGTATAGTAATATGTAGTAGCAACAAAGTCTTATTAGGTAACCGGTATTTAAATACTTAACTAAGAAATGTAAAAGCTTTATTTGTTGTGTAAAACCGATTTTAAAATAATCTACTTAGATTATTAGTGATTTTAAATAGTAAAAGTTAGTAGTGCATAGTTAAAATCCAGTTTGAACAACCTTCGACATAAATAAAATGTAATATTTTATTAGATCTTAAAGCCTTCAAAATAAGATTTGTGAAAGTTTAAATAGCATTCATTGAATTAATTCATATGAAATATTAAAATACCTTATCATAATCAATAATTGGTGCTTGTAAAAATTGTTGTAAATATGTATGAGTGACAGAAATTTTCTAGACTTTCTGCCTAGCCAAACGCATATAAACAAGGAGTTACCTGTGAGAGAGTAACTGTATTTACAACATATGAATTAATGAACGTACCGTTATAAATAATAAATTGATTAACAATTACTTCCACATTTTATTCATACACACATACATACATATGTATATATGGGATATAGTGCATATCCATAGGTAACTCACCTGCAAACAGTATATAAATATGTACATGGAAATATACATACGTATGACACATGCGCGAATGTGTCTCTTACACATACTATGTATGTATGTAGTTACTTCAAGTCCTTTTAAACTTTGATTTAACTCAATAGCTGACAATAAATAAAAAAGCAATAAACGTTAACTAAGTCAACTTCAATTCGAAATAAAAAAATAAGCAAAAGTGTGAAATAAGTGACACTCCATATAAGGCATTGCATCTGGTTCACATGCTACATAGTTGCTTTAATACATATTTTACGCACACACCCATCCTAACTACTAGTCGTATACGCAACCTGTTCAATATGCTGCATAGCTACGGTGACCATCCGTCCTGTATTATAAGGGACAGTACGCTTTTTTGGACCCATTGTCCGGGTAATTTATTTATTTTATACGGGACGCCAAATGTTCTGTATTTTTTTCTTAATGTCCTAAAATGGCATGCCTATCAACGAGTTTGGAGTGATGTTGGTATATAATCCTAATATTCTCCATAAACAGTTATGATTTTCTAATCTGAGTGCCTGTGATTCGAATCGAGGAATACATACAGTAACCTAAATAGAAATTAGGACTCGATATTTTAGTAAGTTTTAGCCATTTTTTCTTAGTTTATTTAATGTTTACCACCATATTATACAAAATTTTCAACTTTATGCAAAAAACTACAAATATTAACTCTGCACGGTTTCACCAAAATTTCAATCTTTTAGAAAAAAAAAATTGTTTGCAGTTTTATAACTCATTAAAATTGAGTACTATAAAGCACGAGTGGAAAGTGCTGGTCGTATGCTTCTCTTCAAAAAAAAAATGGTCGAACAATACTTTGTATGAAAAAAATGCGTAACACTGTCAACAAAAAAAAAAGTTGCCAAAAATTAAGGGTAAGCCTTAGCGACTCAAAAATGCACTTTATTATACTAAAATTTTACGAATTTTTTAAACAAATTTTACGGGGTAAAAATCTCGAAAAAATTATCCCACTGTTACTACTACTGGATACAGTTTCAGGGCTAATACATGTAGCATCATTGAAGAAGACTTTAAGATCTGTAAGCTGTTGTGGAACAAATTTTAAAAAATATTTTTGGTCCCATATTCGGTTCTCATAAATATGGTCACCGTATGCATAGTATAGCATATTCGATTAAACGCTTGCTAGTGAGAGTGTCAATAAATCACTTAATGAAAGCGTGCGAAGGAAGTAATGAATCTTTACAAATCCAATTATATACAAGCAATTACTAATTCCTAAATGCATTTCATACGAGTTGTACTAGCCATTAATACTTGCATTATGCGTACTTATTATAATAAAAAAAAAACAATGAAGAATAAGTATTTAATTTATATTTACAAATCTAATAGGCCAACCTCAGTACAGCGTTTTACATTGCGCTTAGTAAAATTTATAATTTCTGAAAAACAAATTCCTTTGTAGTAGGGTTAACTCTGATAAAAATTATTGACTAACATGGGTATTCCATGGGTAGGTGAACTTCAATGTCCAATTATGAAGTTACTTATTAAAGATTGTAAGGTTTCATAAATCAGTACCCAAGACCTTAATTGAACGTTGTTTTGAAGAAAAAATTTTTGTCCAGTATTTTGTTGCATACAGATACATGGAGAACTTTTTTTAACGGTACTAAACCTCGCAAACATATTGCGAGCGTTCAGAAATTCTGAGCCCGAAAGGAGCCCCATGTGGATAAGAAATATAGTTTGAAAAACAAAAAATGTGTGACTCTTATATGAATCCCTTAGGTGTCATATATGAGCCCGAACTTTGTGTCAATACAAAAACCATATAGATTAGATATTAATATCTAAACCGGTTTATACAGATCGATGATTCTGTGGAATAACGACACAATTCAAAATTCAAAAAACTTCACAAGAACGCCCTTTTCCAGAATTTGATTGAAGGGCGCCATATCTCAAAATTCGGTTCAAAAACGACCTATCTCATCACATTTCAATGTATCTTTAGTTGAAATAGCGCGTTTTTAACCGAATTCTGAGATTGGGTGCTTTTCAATCAAATACTGGAGTGGGACGTTCTTGAAGAGTTTTCGAACTGGCTGCCGAGATAAGTCGATCCTCTACTCAGGTGTCGATATAATAAAAGTTCGCATTTTATTTTTGAAAAATAAAATATCCTTAGTTTATTTCCCGACCTCCTATGTATTTATATTGTACTTTCTTTCAAATATGTATTTCCAGTCACACCAATGGGTTCCATACCGAAGTTATCAATTTTGAAAGGCCAACAGCAGGATATAACGCCACGTCCACTGCATCGCATTTTCGAGGCCAACCTGTTACATCACTCGCACAAAACTGCACTCATATCGCACAGCAATGGCGGCACCACAATCGCTTCCGAAGCCACACAATGCACTTACAAACAGCTAAACCAGCGCGCCAACCAATGTGCACGCCTATTGGTGGCCGACGTAAAACGCAACAGCTTACAACCTAACACAGATGGCGATTACATTGTGGCAGTATGCATGGAACCATCGGATGTGCTCGTCAATACGCTGCTGTCCATTTGGAAAGCAGGAGCCGCATATCTACCAATTGATCCCAGTTTTCCGATCACCCGCATACAACACATCCTGCAAGAAGCGCACCCCATTATGGTGCTATGCGACGACAATATCGACCGTCAACGCTTCAGCGGCACACATATCATTTCAAGTTCGGAACTTTTTCACCGCTCGGCCGAGTTGAGCAACGCGAATTTGCTGGGCAGCGAAATGCTCGCCGATGGTAGTAACCACTTGGCAATTGTGCTCTACACATCGGGCAGTACTGGTGTGCCGAAAGGTGTACGCCTGCCGCACGCTGTCATCTTGAATCGGCTGCAATGGCAATGGCACAAATTTCCATACGCGTCGACTGAAAGTGTGAGCGTCTTCAAGACAGCGCTCACATTCGTTGACTCAATATCCGAATTGTGGGGCCCGCTAATGTGTGGCCTTTCCATTTTAGTGGTGCCAAAGATGATAACTAAAGATCCGGAACGTTTGGTGGATTTGTTGGAAAAATATAAAATTCGTAGATTAGTTTTGGTGCCGACACTCTTGCGCTCGATTCTGATGTATTTGAAGCTGAACGATGGAAATGGGACAAAATACCAACTGATACAACGCGACCGACTCTTGTACAATTTGAAGTTGTGGGTTTGTTCCGGTGAACCATTGCCGGTTGCACTGGCTACAAGTTTCTTTGACTACTTTGTTGAGGGCGTGCATACGCTATTCAACTTCTATGGCTCCACTGAAGTGATGGGTGATGTCACCTACTTTGCCTGCGAAAGCAAAAAGCAGTTGAGCTTCTATGAGCACGTACCGATTGGTAAGTCAGTGGCCCATTAAATACACAAGGTTTCGAATATTTACATAAATATTCAAATGAAGTTGTGATTTTTCCTAATACTTTTCTAACAATTTACATGTTTATCCTTCTTAGGCATTCCGCTCTCGAACACTGTAATCTATCTACTTGATAGTGACTTCCGCCCAATTAAATATGGAGAAATCGGCGAAATATTCGTTTCAGGTCTGAACCTTGCCGAGGGTTATGTAAATGGCAGAGACCCCGAAAAGTTTGTGGAAAATCCGTTGGCTGTGGAATTAAGTAAGTTCCAATATATCATTCAACTAAGTAAATAATTATGTAATGACAATTCATTTGAATCGCGCACAGAATATTCGCGTCTCTATCGTACTGGAGATTATGGCACGATTCGTGACGGTAATGTTATGTACGAAGGCCGCACCGATTCGCAGATAAAAATACGTGGTCACCGCGTAGATCTGGCCGAAGTTGAAAAGAATGTCTCAGAATTGCCATTCGTTGATAAAGCGATTGTACTTTGTTACCATGCTGGCAAAATTGATCAAACGATTCTGGCTTTTGTTAAGTTACGCGACGACTCACCGCTACTAAACGAAATGCAAATCGAAGCTAAATTGAGGGACAAATTGGCCGAGTATATGGCGCCACAGGTTGTTCTTATTGAGCAAGTACCTTTCCTTGTTAATGGCAAAGTAGATCGGCAAGCGCTACTCAAAACCTACGAAACAGCCAATAATAACGAAGGTGATTCCAGTATAGTACTGGATTTTGATTACTCGCTCGTACCCGCCGAGGTAAAACACATTGCTCGGGATCTGTTCGAGACTGTTGGTGGCGTAATCGGTCGTTCGACACGCACAACTTTAACGCCGCAGAGCAATTTTTACGAGCTGGGTGGAAACTCGTTGAATTCCATTTATACAGTGACTTTATTGAGGGAAAAGGGTTACAATATTGGCATATCTGAGTTTATTGCGGCAAAAGATTTGGGAGAAATTTTAGAAAAAATTATAAATAACCGCAGCTCTTCGCCAATGGTTGAAGATTGGACAAATGCTGCACCACATCTGGATATGATCGCCGAGCCACTCAGTGATGCACATAGGCAAGACGTGGTTGAGTAAGTTTTACAAAAAAAAAAATTTAAATGGTTTGTTAATGCTAATTTTTTCTATTTCAATGAAGAATCATAGTTGATAGTTTCTATGGCAAGGCAGATCTGGAACAATGGCTGAAACCGGATATATTCCCCAATGACTACAGTGATCTTATAAATGTAAATATCAACTGTTCTTTGGCATATTTCTGCAATAAAATATTTGACTTGGAATTTTTTCTATTCGTTAGGACATCTGGATTGCCTTGGTGGAGAAGAACCTCAGTTTAGTTGTGCGCGATAAACGTACAAATCGTATTATTGGTACGGCTCTAAATTTTGATGCACGCGCCGAACCCGAAGTTGAGGTTAAGTCCAAACTAATTATAGTATTCGAGTTTTTGGAGTTTATCGAAGGTCCCATACGGTAAGTTTATTAGTTACATATGTATGTAGAAGACATCTAGATGCTCTAGGAAGATTTCAGCATCAAAAAGAAAATTTTGAAAAAAAAATGTCGCTAAAATCTTTTTGACGGTTAAGGTTCGATATGTACACAGCTTGGGTCAAAGATTTAGCCCCAAAATTCAAAAGGATATTGTTTGTAAATTATGTTTATTTATTTATTTTTAATATTTTTCGTTTATTTTAATTTAATGAGACCGAAAAAAGTGCAGAGCAGCTCAAGTTAGAGCAGAATCGAGCAGCTGTCAAAAAATTAATGGAGCAAGTTAGAGCAACTCAGACCAGAAATCTCATGGAGCACTTTTCAGACAGAAATTCTCAAAACAGTTGCTTGCTCTGAGTTACTCCATGAAAAAAGCTGGTGCAGGAAATCGTGCTCTAAGTTGCCCCAGTTCCACTTAGCGCAGGCTTATGAAACAAAAGTAGAGTAAGGAGAGCAAGAAAAATCCTCATGAAACACAATTTTGTGAGATATCTTAGCCTGGCGTAACCTAGAGCAGTTCATTAAACACAACTTTTGATAGTTTCTAAGTTTGCTCAAATTTTACGATAATTAATCAAACTTCAAAAACTTTTCATCAAAATTTCAAACTTTTCAATATATATTTTATAAAACTTTCAGGTATGCGGTTTTGTTACCCATTCAATTTCAGTCTAATAAAGTTCATGTTTCAAATGACTAAAAATTACCGTTGATTTTGAGATTTTGATTTTTTCTCTTTGAGAGCGATTTTTTTCTGGTGGGTAATTTTGTAGGGAGAGTACGAGAACACTCATATATTCTCGATCGTTTTCACATCGCGAATTAAGTCTATCTTGGCAATTAACTTTAAAGTTTTGAACTGAATATCGACAGTTGACTGCCGGATTCGAGTAGGTTTTTGGTATTGAAGATCCTGCAACTATGGGTGCATTCCAAAACTCAACAATTGTGTGGTTTTCTTCGTTTACCCTCATACTCAGTGGCACTGTGCTTATACTCGAAATGTGCTATGTGACAATAATATTTTCCAAAACTTGGAAACAATTTTGAGTCGGTCTAAGCCTTTTTAAATGTCTCCCAACTAAGAGCTTTTATATTTAGGAATCCCTTGGGTTGGAATTGGCGTTACGGCATAGTATCTCTCTATGGTTGGGTGGGGCAGAGAAGAGAAGCGTATGTATATATGGCTTCACACATCAGATCGACCCAAATTGCATTAGTGTTGCGAAATCTAAAGGCTCATTTAGTGCCCCTCATACTCATCTATTTGTAGGTGAAATAGGATTCTTGGTGCACTCATATTTCGCTTTGATTAAATTTTAACAATTGTATTTTGTTAATTCTTATTTTTCGTAATAAAGGGACAACCAACTCCCTAAAGGACTCAACAAGATACTTCACTCATTTATGATGGGCACCAGCTCCGACATGAGTCCGCAAGAAAATATTGCCTGTATGCATTTTATGGAAAACGAAGTGCTGCACGTTGCAAGAGAGAAACAATTTGCCGGAATTTTAACGACCAATACGAGTCCCTTAACGCAGGTGAATTGAAGCAGCTAAAGTAATTTATACGAGTTCTTACACTTTTGTTTTTTTGTTTTTTTACATATATTTTTACAGCAATTGGGCAATGACGTCTATCACTACAAGACATTACTGGACTATCAGGTCAATCAATACGTATACATCGATGGCACCCGCCCGTTCGGTAAAGCGCCAGATTCGCAACGCGCAATTGTCCATTGGCGTGAAGTCACCGATTGAAGTGTGTCACACCACGCTAGGTGGTGCAAAAAACGATATTTATTTCCAAAAAAAATTCTTTATTCCAATATTCTTAGGCGTACATATGTATATGTACATATATGTTAACATTTTATTAGTTATTTAGTATATAATTTTCACTATTTCATAATTCATTTTCGCCTATCAAATAACCGTCTAGCCAAGTCCTTCTTCGCCTGGTGTTCTCAACGCACGGAAGTGTTTTACTTTATCCCTGTACGCTCAAGTGAGTGCCTCAAGTATGAGATAAATTATTTCATAATTGTTTTAATTGTTAACATTTTTGAGTTTAAGTATGGAATTCCTGTAAACACTAGCTCGAATATTTCTGTATTCGTAGTATAATTTTGTTTGTTATTTTCATAAATGCTGTCATAGACTCAAACGTCCCAAACATTAGTTTTCGCAATGCTTGTACCTGTTGATTACATGAACTATCATCTACATATTTATAAATTTAAGTTTAATATGCAAATATGTAAATTATAAATAAAAATAGATAAATAAACACACACTTATGTATAACTCTTATTGAAAACCAATGGGAAGGTAAGTTAAATTTCAAATATTAGAAAAAATATTAAACATTAAGGGCCGTTTGCACCATCTGTGGTTAATTCTGAGTCCAGTAAAATCTCGTTATCGCCGTTACCGACTCCCTGCAAATAACATAAGTTGGGGAAATTAATTTTTAGCGACAAACATGGCTCTGATCATTTATGTTTATGCAAAATAGCACAGTTTGTTGAATTAATTTTTTTTTTTTTTCATCATCATTTATACATTTTTCACCGACTGAGTGGGCGGCTAATTTGATCATAATTATATTGTTTAATCGTTAACCTTGAAAATTTTTGAAATCGGACAATAATCACGACCACCTCCCATATAACGGTTCCGTTCCATTAATTCATAAAGGACGTGTTTGAATCGCCAACAAAGTTCTATTGGGGAAGCTGGTAAATAATATTTTAACTATGGTGAGACAGATTTTCCATCTGCTGTGTGAAATGAAAGCTTTTTTGACAGCAGTAAGTTTTTGACGTACACAAATTTATGTGGAATAAAAAATTTTTAATTGAAGTGAAATTAATAGTTTAAGAAAACATCCACCATCACTGATTACAATTATCAATTTAAACCTTTAATCAATTTAATTTTAATCAATTAAAGCTCTTGAAACATTAAAGAAATGGATTTGCAGAAATATTTAATATAGTGTAATACTTCTTAATTTTGCGACCAGAAACTCCATTTCCTAGCATTTTATTGTTTTTTTTCTTAAATTTGGTGTAGAAAAATTATACACAACAACAATCTTTGGGATTGTCAAAATTTTCTATGCATTTGTAAAAATAAGATGGTGAAATTTTATTCACCTCATTCATTCATTCACACACGCTCTAAGGGCGATAGTCACGGCACTTTTTCTCTAATTTTTTCCATTCTTACTGTGAATGCCATTATGCGTGGAACACTAATAACATCGTTTAAATATCAGTCACGGACTCTTATGGTGGCACGGATTAAAGTGATCCAGGGCTCGAATAGCAACATCCGTTCACGGATCGGAAACCGTACGAAAGAAAATTACCTGATAAGTCAGTCGTATAAGCCGAATGGGATAAAGAGTACATCCACGTACGATATCCTAAATATGTGACGTTTCTAGCCCAGTTTTCAATCACTCCGCTGCACAGATTCGGCTGAATTTGAGCCTGGGTTATGTTCGATTTTAGACCCTTGGCTTTAGGAAACTTCACAAGGAAAAGTATAGCGTGGTCAGATCCTATGATCTTGCGAGAGGTAACCATACCGAATTGCGTGTTGTGGTGTCCGCAGCGTGGGGTCATTTGGCATTAGAGATTCAGGCAGGTTCTGCAATTCACTTCCGAGTGTATTTTAATCAAATTCGCTTTGAATCCAAATTGATGAGGGTTGAAATTCATTCAAAGAGAAGATGCCGTTGGGTTTCTGGTCTCATATCGTAATACCGGCATTAGTCACCTGCACTGAACGCCAGGGTATGCATATGGGCCTGCCGTCTGCAGTTATCCCTTAGCACCACTCGTATAAATCTCAGGTAGGTCTTTTGAAGGGTTAATAGTTTACTAGATCCTTTTGGGGTTATAGCTTCCAATAGAAATGCAATTAAAGGACAATTACATTGCGAAGTGCTTGCAAGTGTTAGCAGATGAAGTGAGTGATGTGTCTACGACTGTTCGATACGATCCTCACTGACTGCTAAATAATAAAATGTTTGCCTCCAACTCGAAGTCAACAATCGGCGCAGTTGTTGTTAGCGATGCAACTGTGCAGTCATCTGCCGGCGTTATTGACGTTGATGATTCGCCTCCTGGAATTGTGATCAAACTGACGTTGTTAATGCAGAACCTGAAGCTGCTGATGTGGTTAATGCTACGGGCGCGGGCGTGCCTGTTTCTCCTTCTTCTACTCCTACTCCTTGCCTAACAGTGGAGAGTAAAGTCGTAAGCAATGACTGCAATGATCTAGGCTTTACAACCCTTTTTTAAGTGGTTGCATTTGTCATCTTTCTTGCCATCAGTTTCTTGTGATAACATTATTGAGTACGTGATGAACCACACCGGCATTGATAATCGGCGCATTTCTTGCTACAAGCTTGTTAAAAAATAGTCGAATCTTAAGCTTAGGGTCTGCGCCTACAATTTCGATAAGCCGTTGAGGCCGTCTTAGTGAATTAACGGGCAATACAAAGCCAGTCGATAGCACTGCTAGTATGGTTGCACCTAGTAAAATCAAAATTATTTTCAAAACGTTTCTAGAATGACAACTGATAGCCCAGTTATACATACTGCGCATGATGTAGTCCGCAGATTGAGCGCGCATTTGGATTTTGACATATTCGCCATCGTGGAAAGCTGGTTAACACCTAATCTCTTTGACTCAGACTTCTTCGATCCTGAGTTATATAATGTTTATCGAAAGGACCGTGACGAAATCTGGTCGGGCCTGTCCAGAGGCGGGGGAGTGCTGATAGCATAGCGACTCAAAAATCGCAAAAATATTATTTTTAAAACTTGGTCCCAATCTATCCTGATTAGATATCAGTACTGCCTTAGGATATTTAATTCCTTGGACAAGATTTTCTATAATAAGTTTATTACTTAAAGTGAAGCAGTCATTAAAAACAACCCTAAAGCATTCTTGAGTTTTGTAAAATCCAACAACGCTAAGTCGAGTGTGCCATCCTCAGTCTTTTTGAATGACAAGCAGGCGAACGAACACACCTGCTGAGGTAGCTAATCTTTTCGCAGAATTTTTCTCCTCTAATTATGTCTCGGATTCTAAAAAGGTTTCTGAACGTTACAATCTTTCAGATTCTGTCCTTAATTTAGGCGCACTGATGTTTCTGAAAGTGACGTAGAAGTAGCTATTTGTTCCATAAAGCACTCCTTTAAATTGGATTCTGATAGCATCTCAGGTGCTATGCTCAATCGTTGCCCATCGCTTATTCAGCCATTAACAATACAGTTCAATAAATCTCTTTCGTGGGGATATTTTATTGACGACTGGAAAAATTCTTTCATTACACCAAAAGTTTTGGAATCAGTTGTCAAACAGAAGCTTAATTTCGCATTGAAAAGTTGAATTTTCCATTATCAGCACGGTTTTGTTAGTGGCAGTAAGAATTTGTATTCCATTTGATTAAATAAATAAATTAAGAGGTTCTTCCGTCTGCCTCACTACAGATGTGTTTTCCCATTATGCTCTTCTTAGCCGACGCTCTTCTGCTCTTAACTCTTCACTGATGCTGTGAGGTCCAAATGCAAGGAAGAATTCAACTCCTCTCATTACACTGGTCTACAAATTTCAACTTTTTTTCTGCGAATAAGACGGGACCTGGTGTTTCTGAACGGATTTTTCGTGCTGAACACGAATCCGGGGTCAAAAATGTCCCATCACGTCACGTTTTCGAGAAAAAAGGGGTTGAAACCCCTAAAAACAGCGTTTTTGGCCATTTTCGAAAAATTATAGAGCTGAACCCTGACGTGGTACAAATTTTGCATATATCAGAAATTAAAGGCTAAACCGTGCCCTTTCGAATGAGCCCTATGCCGAATTGATCGCGTGCACCCTTAAAGCAGGGGGTGTATTTGTGTTTAGGGGTGCAGGAAAAATTGATCACAGAAAGAATTTAATCTTAAACGATCATAGAAAATTAATAATGCCAAGGTTTTAACTATATTAAAAGTCGCTGATTACGAATCTGCAGTTAGATTTTAAAAATTTAAGATGACGGGTCGAATATGGTGGATGAAATTCTTTCTGCGATCAATTTTCCCTGGACTCCTAGACACAAATACACCCCCTGATCTAAGGGTGCATGCGATTAATTCGGCATAGGGCTCATTCGAAAGGGCACGATTTAGCCTTTAATTTCTGACATATACAAAGTTTGTAGCACGTCAGGGTTCAGCTCTACAATTTTTCAAAAATGGCCAAAAACGCTGTTTTTTCCTGCACCCCTAGACACAAATACACCCCCTGCTCCAAGGGCACATGCGATCAACTTGGCATAAGGCTCATTCGAAAGGGCACAATTTTACCTTTAATTTCTAACATATGCAAAGTTTGTAGCACGTTAGGGTTCGGCTCTACAATTTTTCGAAAATGTCCAAAAACGCTGTTTTTAGGGGTTTCAACCCCTTTTTTCTCGAAAACGTGACGTGATGGGAAGTTTTGGACCCCAGATTCGTGTTCAGCACGAAAAATCCGTTCGGAAACACCAGGTCCCGTCTTATTCGCAAAACCCTTGTAGACCAGTGTTATTAGTGCGCTTAAAATCAAGAATGATAGAATACAAGATTGCGCCGATCAGAGAGGATTTTTGAGAATAACTTTTGTGTGACGTCACACTGGTGCAATTGCGAGAGAGAAATGCCAAAACGTGAGCAAGAATGGAAGAAGAAAAAATGTTGCAAGGAAAACGTAAACAAGTTGCACCAGTGTGACGTCATGCAAACAACGATTCTGTCAAATCTAAAAATTATTGTATCATGGTATCTATGATGTGTCGACTTTTTTGTCTCGAGACATTTTTTTTTTTGTTCCAGTAATAATTGACCTCAAGTACCCCGTTCCAGTACTTACCCACCAGATCTCAGTTTTTATCACCCTTACGTACCACCTGAATGTCAGTAAATTGAAGCTCACTAAAAATCATTAAACTTTTGCTAAGTTTTTCGATTATTCCAGTAGGACTTTTAAAAAATGTGTTTATTGCCGAATGCAAGTGTTGCTGGAAAATGTTAAAAAGCGACCCC